TTTTTATTTTGTATTATAATTACTGTGAAATGTATTATGTTTTCGTCATTATTACAACAAATACACACTTGCAACTGATAACACTGGCAATGATTTTATATTTATTAGACTTAAAAAAAAGATCATGCTCCAAATAAGTGGGGTACGGCGTACCCCCGCGTCCAACGCCCACTACACCACTGGTCTTGATGATGTTGAGCTCAAGCTTTTGGTGGTTGTGAGAAGCAGAAACCAAAGTTTTGACTTGTTTAGTTTTTGTACATCATTTTTCCTTTGTGTGTCACTTTCTCTCTCTGGCACAGTAATACACTGCTGTGTCCTCGGCCTTCAGACTGTTCATCTGCAGATACAATTTACTGCTGGAGTCATCTCTGGAGATAGTGAATCTACCCTGGACCGACTGGGAATAATAGATCGGAGTACTAGCTGTGTGTATAAAAGCGATCCACTCCAGTCCTTTCCCAGGAGCCTGTCTGATCCAGTTCCATCGTGAGCCTCCAAAGTTGAATCCAGATGTTGTGCAGGTGAGTCTGTGAGATTCTCCGGGTTTCCTGACTGCTGGTTCAGACTCAGTTATGGTCTGACCTTCAGCGACAGACCAAACAAACAGAGCAACCACCAAGAGTGTTAGCTTTCCCTGAGCCATGTTCACACAGTTTCTTGTGTTTTCAAAAGCTTGAGTCCCTCTTTAAATATGAAGTAAACTTGATCCCTTTGAGAATTCATTTGATGATTAGCTCCTCCTACTTCACATTCTGTTTTTAAAAGTCAAATTCATGGCTATACAAACAGCATTAAATATCATTTAAACTAGCAGCAAATAGTTATTTAAGGCAATTGTTGACAAAAATGAACTGTCGATTAAAATACTATAATTATTCTTTTTCAACGAAAGAGTTGATTTTTTCTTCTTCTTTAATTTGACTATAACTCATATGAGTAACATGAAAGCTTTACTTCTAATCATTGTTTTAGTTGTAACAATTCAAAACTAATTCAGAAATTGATTGAATTATGTTTTTTTATGTTGTAACTGCAATGAAGGAAAGCATGATGGTCTAAATGTGTACTTGTGTTTGCTGCAGCTGGATGAAGACCTGGACTTTGTTTATTTTCTTACTTTAAAGGTTTCAGTATTCAAATAGTGGCAGTTTGAGGACAGATACAGAGAAACTTGGAGCCTTAAGAGGAAATAAACTACTAAGGAACTGAAACCTATTTGACAATGTGCAAAAACACATTCCTGCAGTGCATGAAAAATGCAAACTAAATAAGTTAAAAGATGTAGGATCTCAGATTAGACCTTTTTTTAAATGTTAGCACATAAATGCTTTTTATGGTTCAGCTGCTGTCTTCTAATGAGAACTTTTGATAAGGCTCTGTTCTGCAATAAACATGATAAATCTATTTAGTGATATGATTTCTATATTCAGATATCTGTTAAGAAATATTTTTTTCATTGTTTGGTGTAACTAAAGTTGTGTCATGATATTGAAAGATTCCAAATCTCACATTAACAGTGTGAGAAAACTGTGGTAATGATGAGGGGTTTTTGTACAGCTGCTCAACCAGCTTCAGTCACTGTGTGTCTCGAGCACAGTAATAAACAGCAGAGTCTACAGCCGTCAGACTGCTCATCTGCAGATACAGCTGCTCTCTGTTGTTGTTTCTGGAGATGGTGAACCGGCCTTTCACTGACTCAGAGTAGTAGATGCTGCTACTGCTAGTAGGGTGCATAATAGCGATCCACTCCAGTCCTTTTCCAGGAGCCTGTCTGACCCAGGCCATCCAGTAGCTACTGAATGACAGTCCAGAGGTTTCACAGGTCAATCTGTGAGATTCTCCAGGCCTTTTAGTCACTGGTTCAGATTCTGTCAGAGTCTGACCATCAACACCTGTAAAGAGGATAAAAACACATCTGGTGAAATAAACTGTTGACACAATTAGAATCTGTGTTAGATACAGATCAGTAAAGATGTTGACCTGCCCAGCAGACAGTGAGCAGCAGCAGTCCTGTCCTATAGTCCATCATGTTAAACTGTGTGTCCTCTGTCCTCTGTCCTCCTCTCTGCAGTCACATAAGTAGAGGGGGAGATATCTGAGTTTTGCATTGACTCCTCCTATAACTAAGTTTATGTGTCTTTTTAAGAATAATTTAGCAAGCCCATTTACAAAGCGACAACGAATAGAAAATTATGATTTTGATTGCCAGAGGGACAGCTGGGCCTACATCCAATGCGACAATAATGTAAATTATATAACCAACCATTAATCTCGGGTGTATTTGATTTGGTTTAGAGATTAGATGATCAGAGCTGCTTCTTTAAGGGAAATATTATTAACATTTTTTATGTAATCATCTTCTCAAATGTGTTACAGTGGATTAAAGTTTCCAGTTAGCTGACTGGAATCAGTTGTTTGTCTCCAGTGTTAAATATAGAATTTGCTTCATTTGGTTGTGGTTATGTGACAGAAATGTTTCAAATTCAAACAGATGAAGCTTTCCTGATGATAATGTTTATGATATAATGATGATTTGTGTTCAATCGGCAAATCAAATAGATGTTTTTTAATGTTTAATGTAATCAAAGTGTTCTTTCATTAATGTACTTGTAGAGATGCATGGGCACAGTTTAACCAAACTGAATCAGATAAATAGCTACGTTGTTTGAAATGGGACATTTTTATATTATCTGTGATACATTTTGTTGGAGGCACAAAAGACAAAATATATTTTTCAGTTAGAATTCACTATATTTCTTCAGGTTGTAACTGAATTAAACATTGCGTCAAATTAGATGAAATAAGATGTCAATATTCAGTTAATCAGTATTTCAATATAAAGTGAATGCTCTCATGGGTGGTGGTAAATAGAGGAAGTAGTTTTTGTACGGCTCCCCTGTTACTGTCTCTCACTGTGTGTCTTCTGGCACAGTAATACACTGCTGTGTCCTCGGCCTTCAGACTGTTCATCTCCAGATACATTTTACTGCTGGAGTCATCTCTGGAGATAGTGAATCTACCCTGGACCGACTGGGAGTAACGGATCGGAGAATTGCTTGTGCCGATAATAGCGATCCACTCCAATCCTTTTCCAGGAGCCTGTCTGATCCAGTGCATGTAGGAGCTACTGAATGTGAATCCAGAGCCTGTACAGGTCAATATGTGAGATTCTCCAGGCCTTTTAGTCACTGAATCAGATTCTGTCAGAGTCTGACCACCAACACCTGTAAAGAGGATAAAAGCAAATCATGCTTAAGAAACCTGTGACACAATTAAAAGTTGTGTTAGATAAAGATCAGTAAAGATGTTGACCTGCCCAGCAGACAGTGAGCAGCAGCAGTCCTGTCCTATAGTCCATCATGTTAAACTGTGTGTCCTCTGTCCTCTGTCCTCCTCTCTGCAGTCACATAAGTAGAGGGGGAGACTTCTGAGTTTTGCATTGACTCCTCCTTTAACTGTGTGTTTTTTTCAGATTAATTTAGCAAGGCCATTGATAAAGCACCAAAAAGTAGACTTCATGTCAAGTATGAGGAAATCCTCTCCTTGCTTTACAGATTGAGGGGTAGTCCTTAACGTTTGATGACATTTGGAGAATTAATGTTTAAATGTACAGCAATCACTCTCCATGTAGAAACAAATATGTGTTGGTGCATGTGTTGGATGATGGCAGAGGGACCCACCTACACTGTGTGCACACGTATTAGGCAAGTGGTATTTTTGAGGATTCATTTATTATTGAACAACTACAGTGCTCTCGGTCCATCAAACATTTTAATAAACTTCAAACCTGGATATTTAAGAAAGTAAAAATGAGTTTTTGCCTTTCTTAGGAGAATATCTATGTGTGCATTATTATTGGGCAACTATTAGTATGCAAACTTATTATGCTCCCATCTTACTTGTTTATTTTCATCTGTTAAAGAGAGAACTATAAAACAAACAACATTTGTCCTGCATAGAAATCATGGTCTTCTTGAAAGATTCAGACTTTTGCTGTACCACTGCTTGAAGAAAATGTCTTCTAAAAACTGACAGTATATTTGGGAGTTGGCTTTCAACCCAAAAAGGTCCAACTAGCTCATCTGTAATAATTCCAACCCATACCAGAACCCCTCCTCCACCTTGCTGGCATCGAAGTGGAGCTCTGGGCCCGTTACTGATCCAGCCACGGACCATCTATCTGGTCCATCAAGAGTCACTCTCATCTCATCGGTCCATGAAACCTTTGGGAAATCTGTGTTTAGATATTTCTTGGCCCAGTCTTAACATTTTATCTTATGTGTCTTGGTCAGTTGTGGTCGGGTTTCAGCCTTCCTTACCTTTATTGTCTCTGAGCACTGAACATCTTGTACTTCTGGACACTCCGGGTAGGTTGCAGTTCTTGAATATGACAGCACTGGAGGATAATGGCTTCCTGGTAGCTTCACGTTTGATTCTTCTCAAATCTTTGGCAGTTATTTTGCGTCTTTTTCTCAATACGTTTCTTCTGACCCCGTTAACTATTTGCACCAAACGTTTGAAGGTTCTGTGATCACGCCCAAATATCTTAGCAATTTCAAGAGTGCTGCATCCCTCTGAAATACTTTTTGCAGTTTTGACTTTTCAGAGTCAGTTAAATCTATTTTTTTGGCCCATTTTGCATGAGACAAAGGAACTGGCTTATAATTGTGCACACCTTGATATAGGGTGTTGATGTTCTTAGGCCACAGCCTCCTTACTCCCTCATTACACAAATACACACAACCTGATATGCTTAAATCCAATACTCATTCAAGTTTATAAAGCTTCGAGTTAGAAAATATGGTATTATATGGTCAAAATACTCACTTCAAACAGATAAAGCTTCCCTGGTGATAATGTTTATGATATAATGATGATTGGTGTACAATCAGCAAAGTAAATGATGTGTATTGATTTGTATCAAAGTGTGCATTCATTAATGTACTTCTAGATACATTGGCACAGCTTAACCCTACTGAATGAGATAAACAGCTGCGTTGTTTGAAATGGGACATTTTTATATTATCTATGATACATTTAGTTGGAGGCACAAAAGACACAAAAATACATATTTCCTTCAAAACATACAATTTTTCAGTTAGAATTCACTAGATTTCTTCAGGTTGCAACTGAATTAAACATTGCGTCAAATTAGATGAAATAGGATGTCAATATTCAGTTAATAAGTATTTCAATATAAAGTGAATGCTCTCATGGGTGGTGGTAAATAGAGGAAGTAGTTTTTGTACGACTCCCCTGTTACTGTCTCTCACTGTGTCTTCTGGCACAGTAATACACTGCTGTGTCCTCGGCCTTCAGACTGTTCATCTGCAGATACACTTTACTGCTGGAGTCATCTCTGGAGATAGTGAATCTACCCTGGACCGACTGGGAGTAAGAGATCGGAGAACTATCTGTGCTGATATAAGCTATCCACTCCAGTCCTTTTCCAGGAGCCTGTCTGACCCAGGCCATGTAGGAGCTACTGAATGTGAATCCAGAGGCTGTACAGGTCAATCTGTGAGATTCTCCAGGCCTTTTAGTCTCTGGTTCAGATTCTGTCAGAGTCTGACCACCAACACCTGTAAAGAGGATAAAAACACATCTGGTGAAATAAACTGTTGACACAATTAGAATCTGTGTTAGATAAAGATCAGTAAAGATGTTGACCTGCCCAGCAGACAGTGAGCAGCAGCAGTCCTGTCCTATAGTCCATCATGTTAAACTGTGTGTCCTCTGTCCTCTGTCCTCCTCTCTGCAGTCACATAAGTAGAGGGGGAGATATCTGAGTTTTGAATTGACTCCTCCTTTCTGATTGAACGTTGTCTTGTCTGATATCAATGTTATCCTTATATTGCTTAGTTACATTTACATTTCTTATTTTATTCAGTTTCTTCCGATGCAACTAGAATGACTGCTGCTGTTTATTGAAAAAAGGCATTACAATTGTTATGATTAAGTTTTGTATATCACTTTGCAGGCTAGGTTTGAAATAGACATACAGAATCCCATGTCTTTTAATTTTTTTTTAAATTAAAGCTGACGTTGTGTGTCACTTCTATCGGTGCCGCAATTATTGCATTTGTTTCATGAGAAATTGTGACATCACATGTTACTTATTAGACGCTTTTATCCAAAGCGACTTACATAGTCAATACTGTGGGCAATCCCCACAGGAGCAATTTGGGGCGAAGTGTCTTGCCCAGGGACACAACAACATTCTGACTGCAGTGGGGTTTGAACCTGTGACCCCCTGATCCCAACACCAAGGCTCTATCCACTGCGCCACATGCCTCCCTGACATCCAAAAAAATGTAAGTTTTGGCTCGTAGCTTGTACTAATTGATATTTGTGTGGGGAATACATCCTGCTACACTTCTAACATTTAAAGCAATTCATCTACTGAAACCAATTCAGCTGATTTTATTTTAATAGGTCTACTTGAAAAGTTTAATGTTCGACAATTTGTCATTTGAATTTGTCTTGGGAATACATACAGTAATGTATCAGTGATTATAACCTCTAAATGTTTAAACTGGTGATGTAACAGTGAGCTGGTGTTGAGATCATTTCTGGTCTGAGGGCTCCTCCTCTGGTGGCTTCATGTTACAAGTGTTCAGGCTCTGAGGGGTTTTTGTTCAGCTCTACTGATGGTGTGTGTCACAGTGTGTCCGTTCAGAGTCACTGTGTGTATATATATATATATATATATATATATATATATATATATATATATATATATATATATATATATTAATTCATGTTGGTATCAATGCTCTGTTTCACATATGTCAGTTTGAGCATTATGGAAGCGCATTTACTATAATATAAATAATTTACAATTTTGTTCTCATAGTAAATGGTAACCAGTAGCGTGGCGTGGGGGAAAATGTAGGGGAAGCCCATTTTTTTGGGTCTGGGGGGTGGTCAATAACGTAACCAGATGAGTGATTACAGCGCCCGGTATCATTTTACACACATTTGTATCACACAGATGCAGGACTTTCACACGCCTGTTATCTAACCGAAAGGTCCGCACGCACTCTCCAGCTGAAACTCTCTCCTTATTAATTTAAGCATTTTACTTATTAATGTATGCAGACAATCACACAATCTATGTGATTTTTGGATTTACCGTGCCTCTCAATTGCCCGTGACAGGTTGGCAAGGTCGATGAATCCTGAAGTTGCCCAAGGATTGTTCAGGGAGCACGAATCCTTGTCAAAAAGAAGACATGGCCAGCAAAATAGACGCTGAAGTTTAGCGCTTCCAGTTAGCCACTCCGTGCGGACATAATTGTCCTCATTGAACGTCCGATTCTCTCCCTTTTTCCTCTGTGTACACACAGCTCGAGTGCGGGCATTGGCCTGTCATCTGATTTAATTTGTAGTTGCTGCTGTAGCGGAAGTTTAGTACAGTTATGTTTGATTAAGTACGCCAAATCTCCACCCTCCATAATGCTTCATTTCCTTGATAATTTCTAACGGCGGTGATGACAGTTACAGTATTAAAACTGATGTTGATGTGATTTGATTGGATGGCAGTGTCCAATCAAATCGCCAGCCACCTCTGAAGGGAAGCAAGAGGCGGCTAGCTTCCCTTGGCATGGCCCTGACCAATCACAGGTTGGCAGGGGCATCACGTGGGCCTCATCTGATTGGTCAATCCCAGATTCGGCTGTCCTCCTCTCGCAACAGAGAGTGCAATCTACTGTTTCACCATAACATCTAGAGGGGCGCTGTTTGTTTCACTCTTTGTAAAATACTCAATGAGAATGGGGGAGAGACGGGCCGGCAGCAACACACAGCAAAGGACAATTATCGAGTGTTTTTATTTATTTATTTAAATTATAACTACAATCCGAAAAAACAGGGGAAGCCTGGCTTCCCTTGGCCTCCGGGAGAAAACGCCACTGATGGTAACTGTACTTATATAGCGCTTTATCCAGTCTTTACGACCAGAAACCTCAAAGCACTTTACATACTACATGTCATTCACCCATTCGCACAGAGCAGTGTACCTTACTCTAGTAACTAACATTCATACACACTCACACACCGTTGGCCATGCCATCTGGAGCAACTCAGGGTTAAGTATTTTGCCCAAGGATACATCGACATGTTGACTGCACGGGTTGGGATCGAACCCACAATCTTCTGATTGAAAGACGAGAGCACTCCCTCGCAGCCAGTTGCCCAATATATTAGTAGTATTTAGTATTTACTGATGGAGGCTGTACAGGTCAATCTGTGAGATTCTCCAGGCCTTTTAGTCACTGGTTCAGATTCTGTCAGAGTCTGACCACCAACACCTGTAAGAGGATAAAAACACATCTGGTGAAATAAACTGTTGACACAATTAAAAGCTGTGTTAGATAAAGATCAGTAAAGATGTTGACCTGCCCAGCAGACAGTGAGCAGCAGCAGTCCTGTCCTATAGTCCATCATGTTAAACTGTGTGTCCTCTGTCCTCTGTCCTCCTCTCTGCAGTCACATAAGTAGAGGGGGAGATATCTGAGTTTTGCATTGACTCCTCCTTTCTGATTATATGATGTTAATAACATTATCTCTTACAATTTGAAATTGGTAAACATTTCTTATTGGGCTGTAGGTCACTTTGTAACATTGCATGGTTGTTATGTCATTCAGATTGTTCAGATGAAACAAACAAATAATGGATTTTATTTACTGATGGTTAAATTAACATTATTGTCATGAAAAAATGCTTTGAGTTAATTTAGTAAATAAATCACTTCACAGGTTTTATCAACATCTCATGTCTTTAACATTTATATTTTTGATCAAAGATGACGTTTTGTGTCAAATAAAGAACAGAAATGCATGCATTTGTTTTTGGAAAGAAACTCTGACATCCAACAATGTTTTGTTGTGTTTTGGCTCGTAGATGTACTGTTTAATATTTGTGAATAAATAGTGTGAACAATATTCTTAGAGCTGAAATTGGTTGTAAAGAAACTTAAATTTAGAGGACAAAATGTAATTACTGAAAATAATTATGGATACTTGAAAAGGCTGATGTTTAACAATTTAAAGAAGAGTTTTATTCTGGTCATGCATACAGTAATGTATCAGTGATTATAACCTCTAAATGTTTAAACTGATGATGTAACAGTGAGCTGGTGTTGAGATCATTTCTGGTCTGAGGGCTCCTCCTCTGGTGGCTTCATGTTACTAGTGTTCAGGCTCTGAGGGGTTTTTGTTCAGCTCTACTGATGGTGTGTGTCAAAGTTTGTCTCTGGCACAGTAATACACAGCAGAGTCTCCAGGCTGCACGCTCTGTCCGTTCAGAGTCACTGTGTTGCTGGAAGAGTCTAAGTCGATACTGAACTTGCTCTTCAGTGAATCTTTATAGTATGAATCTCCAGTGTATTTCATTCCTATCCACTCCAGTCCTTTCCCTGCAGGCTGTCTGATCCAGGCTGTGTAGTAGCTGTCACAGAGGCTGGCTGTATCAACTGTTCACACTTCACACCTGTGGAGGGAAACATGTTGAATAGTGAGCGAGGTTAATAACAGTGAGCAGTCAGTGTGAGCGTTCTGTCAGTGTCTCTGCCTCAGTGAGACTCACAGGATCCAGCAGCCAGCAGCAGCAGCAGAGCTACAGAGAACATGGTTGGTGTTGAAGGTGACCTGATGGAGCTTCTCTTCTTCTGCTGCAGCTGACAGCATGATATCAAGTCTTTATAGCAGACTGTGAGGAAGGTCACTTTGCATAGAGAGAGACACTGACAGGCTATAAAAGAGGGACGGACTGTCCTGTCTCGAGCAGTCCAAATGTGGACTTGTGGTTGGAAATGTGAAAGAAATTATATATTTTTTAAAACAATAACTGAAAGCTCATTGTTGTATTCTTCACAAAGCTTCTAACAGACATATCAGGCAAACAGACTCACATTTACACTCAGATTAACAGAATATAACATTTCTGCTTTGACTATATTTTATGAAGCTACAATCTGAATGAAGCAGTTTTATTAAGACAATGTTTCTTTTAGTGTCTTGATGATGTTGAACTGAAGCTTTTTCTGTGGTTGTGAGAAGCAGAAGACAAAGTTTTGACTTGTTGAGATTTTGATCAGTTGCTGGTTGCACTCAACTGAGATTGTCCTCCTCCCTGTCATTTAAGAACTGCACACTGTTAGAGCAGTATCCGCATCGCTCTCCTCTGTCATCATCCTTCTGGATCTTTCTGCTGTGTTTTTCATGGTAACCCGCAAGATCCTTCTTCTCACCCTCCAAGAACTATTGGAGTCTCAGACTGTGTACTGCCCCCGCTCACATGATATATTTAGATATGTTGTTATGTTCAATATAATATGTAGTTATCACATGCAGAGGCCTGAGAAAAGACATTTGGGGATCTCTACGTCATTTTGATCACTCAAATGTTTAAGGAGCTTATGGTATTATACAAAAATAACCCCTAGCTATACAGTCTCAAAATAATGGTATTGTGATTAATATTTCAAATAAAATCATCATATTTATGTTTTCTTATAACACAGAGGAAGAAAAACACATTCGGACATTAACAGTCTCACTAAAGATTCAAACTCAAGTAGGAAGTAAGAAACACAAAATAATCTACATTTGGAGTTTTTCTTTTTATTGTAGAATTAGTGACATAATTCCACCTGGCTCTTACTGCCATGATATTTTAAACGTTGCAGTGTTTTTTGTACAGCTCTGTGGCTTCCTGTATCACTGTGTCTGTCGAGCACAATATTAAACAGCAGAGTCTTCAGACGTCAGGCTGTTCATCTGCAGATACACCTGGTCCACGTTGTTGTCTCTGGAAATGGTGAAGCGATTCTGGACTTTACTAATATAATATATTAGTATAGTTATAGTACTTCCACTTGGAGCAGAAATGTGGGCAACCCACTCCAGTCCTTTTCCTTCAGCTTGTCTGATCCAGCTGATAGCAGCATCACTATCTGATATTCCTGCATATGTACAGGTCAGTTTGTGGGACTGTCCAGGGAGCTTTACCACCGCTTCAGACTCAGTCAGAGTCTGACTGCAAACACCTGGAGAGAAAAGCAGTTTGATCACAACAGAGCCAAACATAAAGCTAAGAAAAAGAAGAGTGCAGGAGTATGTGCTCACCAGAAATCCATGAAAGCATCAGAAACATTCAACATGTAGCTAAAGTCATAGTGGAAATGTGTTGTGTGTGCTGCAGTGGTTTGAGCTGAACTCTTCAGTTTGCAGTGAGATACATAAAGATGGAAGAGATGAATATTTGCATTGGCTCCTCCTCTCAGTGCTGAATATGAAGAATATTGAAATTAATATTGAAATTATGATAACATGAACAATCTGCCTAAACTGTTTAGCTTTTTTATATAGAAACCATTCGTTATCAAACAAGACACACAGGAAGAAATGCCTGAGATACTGAAATCTGTTTGAGGGAGAACTAAATGAACTCATGAATCTGCAGTGACTGCTGATCCAGCTCCTTTTTGTGTTATAATGAAGCAACCTCTCAAAGAGTGAGAGTATAAACCTGTAGTTCAGAGCAGGGTCTGAGTGTGAGTTAAGATCAGTGAGAGCAGCAGATCTGAGTGTTTCCTTTTACTGACAGAGGAGAGGGGAACTCAACACTGACTGCCATCTAGTGTCTTTAGGAGAGCAGCTGCTCCATGATATGCATTAATGGTGCTGAACCGTGTTCATGTAGTGTTTATTTTATTCCTATTTAGACATTGATCTCAGCGGATTCTTTTTTTGGTTTTGTCCTTGTCTATTTTGTGTGGCAGTGATTAATTCATCTAGATCTTTTTATAATTGATTTAAATTGCTGGTAATTTATTAACTCTCTCAAGGCTGAATTTCATAATTGTATTATATACAACCAAAGCAAAAGATAACTGAAGAATATAATTAAATGTAAGGGTCTATCTAAGATAAGGATGAGGTCTGTAGGTTTTTGTACAGCTGCTCAACCAGCTTCAGTCACTGTGTGTCTCGAGCACAGTAATAAACAGCAGAGTCTACAGCCGTCAGACTGTTCATCTGCAGATACACCTGCTGTCTGTTGTTGTCTCTGGAGATGGTGAACCGGCCTTTCACTGACTCAGAGTAGTACTGGGTGCTACTGCTAGTAGGGTGGATCAAAGCGATCCATTCCAGTCCTTTCCCAGGAGCCTGTCTGATCCAGGCCATGTAGGAGCTACTGAATGTGAATCCAGAGGCTGTACAGGTCAATCTGTGAGATTCTCCAGGCCTTTTAGTCACTGAATCAGATTCTGTCAGAGTCTGACCATCAACACCTGTAAGAGGATAAAAACACATCTGGTGAAATAAGCTGGTGATACAATTAAAATCTGTGTTAGATAAAGATCAGTAAAGATGTTGACCTGCCCAACAGACAGTGAGCAGCAGCAGTCCTGTCCTATAGTCCATCATGTTAAACTGTGTGTCCTCTGTCCTCTGTCCTCCTCTCTGCAGTCACATAAGTAGAGGGGGAGATATCTGAGTTTTGCATTGACTCCTCCTCACAGGGTTTGTAAAAAATGTCAACCCTCCATCTCAGCTGTTTTCTCTTAACTAGTTTTAAGTTGTGTAGAATAATTGTATAGCAGTAACTACATAATCACATGTATTCTAATAATACACAAATGATTATCTTAGCTTCGACATGTGACACATTTATCTAAACAAATTATATATATATATATTACATAATTTATGTTGGTATCAATGCTCTGTTTCGCATATGTCCGTTTGAGCATAATCGAAGCAGATTTACTATAATATAAATAATCTACATTTTAGTTCTGATAGTAAATGGTAACTGTAATTATGTAGCCCTTTATCCAGTCTTTACGACCCCTCAAAGCGCTTTACATACTACATGTCATTCACCCATTCACACAGAGCAGTGTACCTTACTCTAGGAACTAACATTCATACACACTCACACACCGTTGGCCATGCCGTGGGAAGTAACTCAGGGTTAAGTATTTTGCCCAAGGATACATCGACATGTTGACTGCACAGGCTGAGATCGAACCCACAACCTTCTGATTGAAAGACGAGAGCCCAATATATAGTAGTGTTTAGGAAATGTGCTTTATTCTCCTCTCACATTTCACCTTTCTAATAATCTCGTCATCCAGCCAAGCTCTGTGTCTGTTCAAATATTGTTGTTCAGCTTGTTTCTCTTTTCATATTCAATGTCATTTGGGGCTTGTATTTATAAATATGACATATGTTATTTATCTGGTGATTAATGGGAAACACATAGAAATCTGATGTGGATCCATCAAAGTGCTTTTTCAATTTGTGAGAAAACACAGAAGTGTATAGGATCGCATTGCTTTGTGGCACACACACACACACACACACACACACACACACACACACACACACACACACACACACACACACACACACACACACACACACACACACACACTCACACACCCACACTCAAACACACACACACACACACACACACACACACACACACACACACACCCACACTCAAACACACACACACACACACACACACACACACACACACACACCACACACACACACACACACACACACACACACACACACTTTGCTGGTTTATGAGGCAACACACACAGATCATTTGCATACTGATGATTGGAAATCAGCTGACTTGAGTTCATGGAAATTATCCAAAAGATGAGAAAATGTGGTTTTTAATCACGTAGAAAAGGTTGAGCAACACGATTTAGATTATAAAAACAAACTTTTCTATAGTTTTATCAAATTAACATCATCATGAAGTTGGATTAAAATATGAATGATTCTCCTAATCCAGTTATGACACTGATAAAGTTGTCTTTTACATATGTTATTGAATAATTATTTAATAGGAATTGTCTTTTAGAGAATCCCATTCTACTATAGAAAGGAATCTACTATATTATCAGACACTTTTAAAACAAACTTATGGTCTTACTTTCCCTTTTAGATGTTATACCTACAATGATTTACAGTATCAGTGATTGTAATGTCAGATTGTTTAAATTGGTGAAAACCCTTTCTGTTGAATTAAGTTAAGAATATTTCTGACATCTTAGTACTCTTTCCCTCTTGACTGTAACAGTGAGCTGGTGTTGAGATCATTTCTGGTCTGAGGGCTCCTCCTCTGGTGGCTTCATGTTACAAGTGTTCAGGCTCTGAGGGGTTTTTGTTCAGCTCTACTGATGGTGTGTGTCACAGTGTGTCTCTGGCACAGTAATACACAGCAGAGTCTCCAGGCTGCACGCTCTGTCCGTTCAGAGTCACTGTGTTGCTGGAAGAGTCTAAGTCGATACTGAACTTGCTCTTCAGTGAATCTTTGTAGTATGAACTTCCAGTGTTTTTCATCCCAATCCACTCCAGTCCTTTCCCTGCAGGCTGTCTGATCCAGGCTGTCCAGGAGCCAAGAGAATAAGAGACCTGACAGGTGATGGTCAGACGTTGACCTGGCTGCACAGTCACAGAGGCTGGCTGTGTCAGCTGCTCACACTTCACACCTGTGGAGGGAAACATGTTGAATAGTGAGCGAGGTTAATAACAGTGAGCAGTCAGTGTGAGCGTTCTGTCAGTGTCTCTGCCTCAGTGAGACTCACAGGATCCAGCAGCCAGCAGCAGCAGCAGAGCTACAGAGAACATGGTTGGTGTTGAAGGTGACCTGATGGAGCTTCTCTTCTTCTGCTGCAGCTGACAGCATGATATCAAGTCTTTATAGCAGACTGTGAGGAAGTTCACTTTGCATAGAGAGGGACACTGACAGGCTATAAAAGAGGGACGGACTGTCCTGTCTCGAGTTGTCTTTTGGATTTGTGGTTAGACAATTATAAGGATACATTTTAAGTTACTTATCACTAACTTTTATTTACATTTAAATAAGATATAATCATTTATTCTGCTCAGCAAAACCCTATCCCACATACTGGATACATCATGCATGAATCCATTCTCGATACTTTCTGTTAAAAATAAAATAATGGGACAATATTGTTGCAAGAATGCCTGAAGTAAAATGTATATCCAAAAAAAGGGAAGTGAAATTCCACATCAGCCGTTGCTTTCATAGTGTGTTTAGAAAAGCTGTATTTTTCTCCTTATTGTCATCTGACTTTTTATCTTTTACTGCCACCTGTTGGTACTAGTGATAATACATAGTTAGAGGACTCTGTGCTTCATTTAACCGGTGTGTGTTTGGTGCAGTAATACCCAGCAGAGTCCTCTGGCTTTAAGTTGGACAGCCTCAGATGCACCATGCTGTTGCTATCATCTCTACAGATTTCGAACACGTCCGTCCACACTGCTGGCATATTTGTTGCTACAAGCCGAAGAGAAGCCGCTCCCTATCAATTCCAGAGGTTTTCCAGCAGGTTGTCTGACCCAGATCATAACACAGCAACTAAATGTGAAGCCAGATCCCCTGCAGGAGAGACTGAGAGTCTCCCCAGGCCTCTTCACTACTGAACAGGAAGGAATAGACTCCATACTCTGACCTGTACAACCTGATAAGAGAAAAGAAGAGAAAGAGAACCAAAGAAGATAGTGAGATATTTTGAAAATGTTCTGGTATCACTGACTGACCATCAGTGGATGTTTTCTGATAAAAGATAACACATCAAGAAGCAGGAGAGCTCACAGGGCAGAGAGAGAGCAACCAGCAGAAGAGAGAGAGTGTTGATCATCCTGAGACTGGAGATGTGACCTCTGATGCTCCACACAAAGCACAGATCAGTCCGACAGAAGTACTCTGCACACACTGGAGATTTGCATCAGGATAGCATGGGGAGAGATGGGCTTTCGCTGGGACTGATATAATTAATTCAAACCATTGAGTCCGACTAGATCAGATCAATAATGTTCATACCTGTGGAAACACAAATCAACATAATCTCAATCATTAATCGGCCTACTCAGTGTTTCTGATCTGTTTATTAGTGAGATCTTCAGCAGGCTGATGACACCCATCTTAGATTCTTCAAAGACTGAACCTACAGGGTAACTTTGAGAGGATGTGTGTCCGACCCTCCTCAATGAGGTCCCTCAGGAGTGCGTCCTGGGTCCCCTCTTCTTCTCTCTGTTCACCAATTCATTGGCTCTGTCATTCTATAAATATCTCAATATCTCGTTTTCAATATAAGACATGCAGAGGCCTGAGAAAAAATATTTGGGGATCTCTACGTCATATTGATCACTCAAATGTTTAATACGCGTAAGGAATTATACAAAATACCCCCTAGCTTAACAGTCTCCAAAAGAATATGATTTTGATTAATATTTCAAACAAAGTCCTCATATTTATGACATATTCTTTAAAAGCCATATAACACAGAGAAGACAAACACATTTGGACATTAACAGTCTGCAAGGTTTTTGCATTGCTTCACTGGGGACTTCCACCAGTGTCGCACTCTTGCGGTAACCTTTGACACTGACTTTATTTTAAAACACTAAAGACGTCTTGTGACGGAAGCATTGCGTGGGGAAGTATTTACATCTTGTGTATATAAGATATCCTGATTTAAGCTGGAAAATGACTTGCACTCTCTATTGGTTATTGCCACTGACAATGCAATGGTTTTTGTACAGCTCTGTGGCTTCCTGTATCACTGTGTCTGTCGAGCACAATAATAAACAGCAGAGTCTTCAGACGTCAGGCTGTTCATCTGCAGATACACCTGGTCCACGTTGTTGTCTCTGGAAATGGTGAAGCGATTCTGGACTGACGTGGAATAATATATAGAACTTCCACTTGGAGCAGTAATGTGGGCAACCCACTCCAGTCCTTTTCCTTCAGCTTGTCTGATCCAGCTGATAGCAGCATCACTATCTGATATTCCTGCATATGCACAGGTCAGTTTGTGGGACTGTCCAGGGAGCTTTACCACCGCTTCAGACTCAGTCAGAGTCTGACTGCAAACACCTGGAGAGAAAAGCAGTTTGATCACAACAGAGCCAAACATAAAGCTAAGAAAAAGAAGAGTGCAGGAGTATGTGCTCACCAGAAATCCATGAAAGCATCAGAAACATTAAACATGTAGCTAAAGTCATAGTGGAAATGTGTTGTGTGTGCTGCAGTGGTTTGAGCTCTCCTCTTCAGTTTGCAGTGAGATAAATAAAGATGGAAGAGATGAATATTTGCATTGGCTCCTCCTCTCAGTGCTGAATATTAAGAATATTTAAATTAATAATTAACAGTTTAACATGTTGATAATATTTAAATTAATATTTAAACTCTGATAGCAAGAAGAATTAGCCTAAACTGTTTTGCTGTTTTATAGAAACCATTCGTTATCAAACAAGACACACAGGAAGAAATGCCTGAGATACTGAAATCTGTTTGAGGGAGAACTAAATGAACTCATGAATCTGCAGTGACTGCTGATCCAGCTCCTTTGTGTGTTATAATGAAGCAACCTCTCAAAGGGTGAGAGTATAAACCTGTAGTTCAGAGCAGGGTCTGAGTGTGAGTTAAGATCAGTGAGAGCAGCAGATCTGAGTGTTTCCTTTTACTGACAGAAGAGAGGGGAACTCAACACTGACTGCCATCTAGTGTCTTTATGAGAGCAGCTGCTCCATGATATGCATTAATGGTGCTGAAATGTGTTCATGTAGTGTTTATTTTATTCCTATTTGGACATTGATTTGTTTTGTCCTGGTCTATTTTGTGTGGCAGTGATCAATTAATCTAGATCTTTTTATAATTGATTTAAATTGCTGGTAATTTATGAACCCTCTCAAGAATGAATTTTATAATTGTATTATATACAACCAAAGCAAAAGATAACTGAAGAATATAATTCATTTTAAGGGTCTATCGAGATAAGGATGAGGACTGTAGGTTTTTGTACAGCTGCTCAACCAGCTTCAGTCACTGTGTGTCGAGCACAGTAATAAACAGCAGAGTCTACAGCCGTCAGTCTGCTCATCTGCAGATACACCTGCTGTCTGTTGTTGTCTCTGGAGATGGTGAACCGGCCTTTCACTGACTCAGAGTAGTACTGGGTGCTACTGCTAGTAGGGTGGATCAAAGCGATCCATTCCAGTCCTTTCCCAGGAGCCTGTCTGATCCAGGCCATGTAGGAGCTACTGAATGTGAATCCAGAGGCTGTACAGGTCAATCTGTGAGATTCTCCAGGCCTTTTAGTCACTGAATCAGATTCTGTCAGAGTCTGACCATCAACACCTGTAAGAGGATAAAAACACATCTGGTGAAATAAGCTGGTGATACAATTAAAATCTGTGTTGGATAAAGATCAGTAAAGATGTTGACCTGCCCAGCAGACAGTGAGCAGCAGCAGTCCTGTCCTATAGTCCATCATGTTAAACTGTGTGTCCTCTGTCCTCTGTCCTCCTCTCTGCAGTCACATAAGTAGAGGGGGAGATATCTGAGTTTTGCATTGACTCCTCCTTTCTGATTGAACATTGTCCTCTTTTAACAGTATTTTATGTTAAACACATTATCTCTACAATTTAAATTGGTTTAAATGTCTTATTGGGCTGTAAGTCACTTTGTAACATTTAAACATGTTTATGTAATTCAGATGTTGTCGGATGAAACAAACAAATAATGGATTTTAATTATTGTTGATAAAAATAAAGGTATTAACATTATTGTCATTCAAAAAATGATTTGGTTAAATTTAGTGAACAAATCACTTTACAGGTTTTATCTACATCTCATGTCTTTAACATTTATATTTGTAATCAAAATGACGTTTTGTGTCAAATAAAGAACAGAAATGCATGCATTTGTTTTTGGAAAGAAACTCTGACATCCAACAATTTTGTGTTGTGTTTTGACTCGTACAGTAGATGTATTGTTTGGTATTTGTGAATAAATAGTGTGAACAATATTCTTAGAGCCGAAATTGGTTGTAAAGAAACTTAAATTCAGAGGACAAAATCCAATTACTGAAAATATATAATTATGGATAATTGAAAAGGCTGATGTTTAATAATGTAGAGAACAGTTATACATTTTTTATTCTGGGAATACATATAGTAATGTATCAGTGACTATAACCTCTAAATGTTTAAACTGATGATGTAACAGTGAGCTGGTGTTGAGATCATTTCTGGTCTGAGGGCTCCTCCTCTGGTGGCTTCATGTTAAAAGTGTTCAGGCTCTGAGGGGTTTTTGTTCAGCTCTACTGATGGTGTGTGTCACAGTGTGTCTCTGGCACAGTAATACACAGCAGAGTCTCCAGGCTGCACGCTCTGTCCGTTCAGAGTCACTGTTTTGCTGGAAGAGTCTAAGTCGATACTGAACTTGCTCTTCAGTGAATCTTTGTAGAATGTAGTTGAACCTTGTTTCATTCCTATCCACTCCAGTCCTTTCCCTGCAGGCTGTCTGATCCAGGCTGTGAAGTACCTGCCCACAGAATAAGAGACCTGACAGGTGATGGTCAGACGTTGACCTGGCTGCACAGTCACAGAAGCTGGCTAAATGTGAAGCCAGATCCCCTGCAGGAGAGACTGAGAGTCTCCCCAGGCCTCTTCACTACTGAAGAGGAAGGAATAGACTCCATACTCTGAACTGTACAACCTGATAAGATATAAAAAAGAGAAAGATAACCAAAGAAGATAGTGAGATATTTTTAAAATGTTCTGGTATCACTGACTGACCTTCAGTGGAAGTTTTCTGATAAAAGATAAAACATCAAGAAGCAGGAGAGCTCACAGGGCAGAGAGAGAGCAACCAGAAGAAGAGAGAGAGTGTTGGTCATCCTGAGACTGGAGATGTGACCTCTGATGCTCCACACAAAGTACAGAGCAGTCAGACAGAAGTACTCTGCACACACTGGAGATTTGCATCAGGGTAGGAATGGGAGGGGCTTTTAGAGGGACTGATATAATAATTTAAACTTTTGAGTATGACTGGATCAGATCAATAATGTTCACACCTGTGGAAACACAAATAAACATTATCTCAATCATTAATCGGCCTACTCAGTTTTTCTGATGTGTTTATTAGTAATAATCTGCACCAGGCTGGTTACACTAAACTGAGATTGTCAGTTCCCCTCATTCCCCTTCACTGTCGTCCTACTTCTGGACCTTTCCACTGTGTTCAACATTAAGTTTAAATTAAAAATATAACGTTCAAGTCAATATTATTGCTTTCAACTAACTTAATTTAGTTATGTGACATTTGTTGACATAATACATTTAATTAAAGTCAATGTCTCAATTTTTTCAGTGAAGTAACCCACGAGATCTTTCTTCACACCCTCCAATAACTATTGGAGTCTCAGGCTGTGCACTCTCGCTGCTCACGTCCTTCTTCAAAGACTGAACCTAAAGGGTAACTTGGAGTGGAGTTGTGTCCGACCCTCTTCACTGAGGTCCCTCAAGGGTCCGTCCTGGGTCCCCTTTTATTTTCTCTGTTCACCAATGCGTTGGCTCTGTCATTCCATACATTTCTCTATATCTTGTTTTCAATATAAGACGTGGTCGACACATGCAGAGGCCTGATCTGATTTAACTATTGGGAGCTGCTATCTGATAGAAGCAGTTTTATTCAGGCGATGTTTCTCTCAGTGTCTTGATGATGTTGAGCTCAAGATTTTGGCGGTTGTGAGAAGCAGAAACCAAAGTTTTGACTTGTTTAGTTTTTGTACATAATGTTTCCTTTGTGTGTCACTGTCTCTCTGGCACAGTAATACAATGCTGTGTCCTCGGCCTTCAGACTGTTCATCTGCAGATACACTTTACTGCTGGAGTCATCTCTGGAGATAGTGAATCTACCCTGGACCGACTGGGAATAATAGATCGGAGAACTAGCTGTGTGTATTAAAGCGATCCACTCCAGTCCTTTCCCAGGAGCCTGTCTGACCCAGTTCCATCGTGAGCCTCCAAAGTTGAATCCAGATGTTGTGCAGGTGAGTCTGTGAGATTCGCCGGGTTTCCTGACTGCTGGTTCAGACTCAGTTATGGTCTGACCTTCAGCGACAGACCAAACAAACAGAGCAACCACCAAGAGTGTTAGCTTTCCCTGAGCCATGTTCACACAGTTTCTTGTGTTTTCAAAAGCTTAAGTCCCTCTTTAAATATGAAGTAAACTTGATCCCTTTGAGAATTCATTTGACGATTAGTTCCTCCTACTTTGCATTCTGCTTTAAAAGTCAAAGTCAAGACAAACAGCATTAAACATCATTTAAATTAGCAGCAAATAGTTATTTAAGGCAATTGTTGACAAAAATGAACTGTTGATTAAAATACTATAATTATTCTTTTTCAACGAAAAAAACGAAAAGTTGATTATTTAATTTAATTTGACTATAAATAACATAAAAGCTTTACTTCTAATCATTGTTTTAGTTGTAACAATTCTAAACTAATTCAGAAATTGATTGAATTATGCTTTTTTATGTTGTAACTGCAATGAAGGAAAGCATGATGGTCTAAATGTTTACTTGTGTTTGCTGCAGCTGGATGAAGACCTGGACTTTGTTTATTTTCTTACTTTAAAGGTTTCAGTATTCAAATAGTGGCAATTTGAGGACAGATACAGAGAGACTTGGAGTCTTAAGAGGAAATAAACTACTAAGGAACTGAAACCTATTTGACAATGTGCAAAAACACATTTCTGCAGTGCATGAAAAATGCAAACTAAATAAGTTAAAAGACGGAGGATCTCAGATTAGACCTTTTTCAAAATGTAAGCACATAAATGCTTTTTATGGTTCAGCTGCTGTCTTCTCTAAAGAGACATTTTGATGAGGCTCTGTTCTGCAATAAACATGATAAATCTATTTAGTGATATGATTTCTACATTCAGCTATATGTTATATGCTATATTGTTTGGTGTAACTAAGGTTGTTTCATGATACTGGAAAGGCCTTTCACTGACTCAGAGTAGTAGTAGATGCTGCTACTGCTAGTAGGGTGGATGTAAGCGATCCACTCCAGTCCTTTTCCAGGAGCCTGTCTGACCCAGGCCATCCAGTAGCTACTGAATGACAGTCCAGAGGTTTCACAGGTCAATCTGTGAGATTCTCCAGGCCTTTTAGTCACTGGTTCAGATTCTGTCAGAGTCTGACCATCAACACCTGTCAAGAGGATTAAAACACATCTGGTGAAATAAACTGTTGACACAATTAGAATCTGTGTTAGATAAAGATCAGTAAAGATGTTGACCTGCCCAGCAGACAGTGAGCAGCAGCATTCCTGTCCTATAGTCCATCATGTTAAACTGTGTGTCCTCTGTCCTCCTCTCTGCAGTCACATAAATAGAGGGGGAGATATCTGAGTTTTGCATTGACTCCTCCTTTAACTAAGTGTGTTTTTTTTTTGCAAGGCCATTTATAAAGGTACAAAAAATAGACTTCATGTAAAGTATAATGATTTTGATTGCCAGAGGGACAGCTAGGCCTACATCCAATACGACAATAAACTAAATTAATTAACTAACCATTCATCTCAGGTGTATTTGATTGAATTTGGGTTAGAGATTAGATGATCAGAGCTGCTTCTTTCAGGGAAACATTATTAATAGATCATTTGTATTTAATCAGCTTCTCAAATGTGTTACAGTGGATTAAAGTTTCCAGTTAGCTGACTGGAATCAGTTGTTTGTCTCCAGTGTTAAATATAGAATTTGCTTCATTTGGTTGTGGTTATGTGACAGTAATGTTTCAAATTCAAACAGATGAAACTTTCCTGATGATAATGTTTATGATATAATGATGATTTGTGTTCAATCGGCAAATCAAATAGATGCATTCATTAATGTACTTCTAGAGATACATTGGCACAGTTTACTGAATCAGATAAACAGTTGCATTGTTTGAAATGGGACATTTGTATATTAGCCGTGATATATTTTGTTAGAGACACAAAAGAAACGGAAATACATATTTTTCAGTTTGAATTCACTATATTTCTTTAGGTTGCAACTGAATTAAACATTGCGTAAAATGAGATGAAATAGGATGTCAATATTCAGTTACTCAGTATTTCAATATAAAGTGAATGCTCTCATGGGTGGTGGTAAATAGAGGAAGTAGTTTTTGTACGACTCTCCTGTTACTGTCTCTCACTGTGTGTCTTCTGGCACAGTAATACACTGCTGTGTCCTCGGCCTTCAGACTGTTCATCTGCAGATACACTTTACTGCTGGAGTCATCTCTGGAGATAGTGAATCTACCCTGGACCGACTGGGAGTAATAGATCGGAGAACTGCTTGTACAGACATAAGCGATCCACTCCAGTCCTTTCCCAGGAGCCTGTCTGACCCAGTTCATGCCATAGCTACTGAATGTGAATCCAGAGGCTGTACAGGTCAATCTGTGAGATTCTCCAGGCCTTTTAGTCACTGAATCAGATTCTGTCAGAGTCTGACCACCAACACCTGTAAAGAGGATAAAAACACATCTGGTGAAATAAGCTGTTGACACAATAAAAATCTGTGTTAGATAAAGATCAGTAAAGATGTTGACCTGCCCAGCAGACAGTGAGCAGCAGCAGTCCTGTCCTATAGTCCATCATGTTAAACTGTGTGTCCTCTGTCCTCTGTCCTCCTCTCTGCAGTCACATAAGTAGAGGGGGAGATATCTGAGTTTTGCATTGACTCCTCCTTTCTGATTGAACATTGTCCTCTTTTAACAGTATTTTATGTTAAAAACATTATCTCTTACAATTTTATTTTTGGTAAACATTTCTTATTGGGCTGTAAGTCACTTTGTAACATTTAAATATGTTTATGTAATTCAGATTATTCAGATGAAAACAAACAAATAATGGATTTTATTTACTGTTGATTAAAATAAAGGTATTAACATTATCGTCATAAATGCTTTGAGTTCATTTAGTAAATAAATCACTTTACAGGTTTTATCTACATCCCTGGATGGATATCCTCGTGGATTCATCTTCTTATTATACACACATGCATTTCCAAACATTTGGATTACCTATGTTGTAAAATGTATTATCTTTTCAATTTACACACGGCATCTATTGCACGTCTGTCCGTCCTGGGAGAGGGATCCCTCCTCTGTTGCTCTCCCTGAGGTTTCTCCCATGTTCCCCTTTAAACTGTGGGTTTTCTCCGGAAGTTTTTCCTTGTACGATGTGAGGGTCTAAGGACAGAGGGTGTCGTATTGTCATACTGATATTCTGTACAAACTGTGAAGTCCACTGAGACAAATGTAACATTTGTGATATTGGGCTATATAAATAAACATTGATTGATTGATTGATCTCATGTCTTTAACATTTATGTTTTTGATCAGAGATGACATTTTATGTCAAATAAAGAACAGAAATGTATGCATTTGTTTTTGGAAAGAAACTCTGATATCCAACAATGTTTTGTTGTGTTTTGGCTCGTAGATGTACTGTTTAGTATTTGTGAATAAATAGTGTGAACAATATTCTTAGAGCTGAAATTGGTTGTAAAGAAACTTAAATTTAGAGGACAAAATCCAATTAATGAAAATATATAATTATGAATACTTGAAAAGGCTGATGTTTAAGAATTTAAAGAAGTGTTCTTCATTGTTTATTCTGGGAATACATACAGTAATGTATCAGTGACTATAACCTCTAAATGTTTAAACTGATGATGTAACAGTGAGCTGGTGTTGAGATCATTTCTGGTCTGAGGGCTCCTCCTCTGGTGGCTTCATGTTACAAGTGTTCAGGCTCTGAGGGGTTTTTGTTCAGCTCTACTGATGGTGTGTGTCACAGTGTGTCTCTGGCACAGTAATACACAGCAGAGTCTCCAGGCTGCACGCTCTGTCCGTTCAGAGTCACTGTGTTGCTGGAAGAGTCTAAGTCGATACTGAACTTGCTCTTCAGTGAATCTTTGTAGTATGTTTCTCCAGTGTATTTGCTACCAATCCACTCCAGTCCTTTCCCTGCAGGCTGTCTGATCCAGGCTGTGAAGTAGCTGCTAAGAGAATAAGAGACCTGACAGGTGATGGTCAGACGTTGACCTGGCTGCACAGTCACAGAGGCTGGCTGTACAAGAGGGACGGACTGTCCTGTCAAGAGTTGTCCAATTGTGGATTTATTTTATGAACATTTATTTTGGAAAGAAGTTATATCTATTGTTCGAAACTAAACTTAAAATTACAGTCTTGAACATCCCTGTTTTGTTCCCTTTGTCGGCAACCTTAAGCCTTATCTAAGTTATTCTTTCATTCTTCTTCTTTTTTATTATTATTATTTAGTAAAACGCTTTACACCTGCCTTACAAAATAACAGATGGCAGCTATATGAACCCCTCCATTGACGCAGAAAAGCACACGTTGGTAGAAACCATGAAAAAGAGGAAGTCACTAACCACCAAACTCAACCGTTGCTTTCAGATTGTGTGTTGGTAAAATGCAGTAGTGGTTTGTCATATTATTTTTGATTACATATCTTTTACTGACCCCTTTTGGTGACAGTAGGAATAATGTGTTTAAGGTTTTTGTAAAGCCTCTGGACTTCCTTTAACTAGTGTGTGTATCTAGCGCAGTAATACACAGCAGAGTCCCCAGGCTTTAAGCTGGACAGCCGCAGATGCACCATGCTGTTGGTATTATCTCTGGTGATTTCTACACGTCCTTGAACAATGCTTGCATATATTGTTTTACTTCCATCGTAATAAATTAGCCCCATCCATTGCAGTGCTTTTCCCGCAGGTTGTCTGATCCAGTGCATGCCATACTGAGTGAAATCAAATCCAAATCCCCTGCAAGAGAGACTGAGGGCCTCCTCTGGCTTTCTCACCACTGCAGTGGAGGGGATGGACTCCAGAGTTTGGCCATTCAAAGCTGCAAAATAACCAGAAGGAAAAGGACACAAGTGACAACAAGACAGGAATAAATGGCAGCGCTTTAAATGCATCCAATTAAGTTTAAAATGAGGTGTATTGTTTTCGCACAATTTTTAAATAAACAAACATAACACATGACAAATAATATACAGTGAAGGAAGAGGCAAACATCCAACTGGGCTTTATTTGAATCCTCCACCCAAATCAAATGTTAAATGTTATAGAAAACACAAGGTTAATATAAAAAAACATGTGAATTCAGTAGTGATGGCAAACTAGAAAAGATGATATTGCAGCATGAACCTGAGCAACTTACAGGGCAGACAGAGGGCTGTCAGCAGAATCAGTCTGTCCATCTTCTCGAGACTGAAAAGAGAAACACAGTGACCCAGAAGTCAGTGGGGGGGACAGAAGTATACTCTCTGAAAACTCTGGATTTGCAATGGGAGGGGCTAATATTTTGGGATAAGGGAGTATTCAAATACATCTCTTGGATAAAAATGTGTTGCATGTCATTTCAGGCTTTTTAACGACACTGGTTTCACTGACCAACAGACTCAAAGTCAAAAGTCAACTTTAATATACATTTGTCTGTGTTTTTACAGACATATAGATAGAAATAACGTTTCCAACAATCCCAAATACAAAATACATTAATACAAAAATACAAATATGTATATCCTCTATATATACAATTAACAGACACATTTACACATATGCACACATTAAGACTCACCTTCTAGGATAACTTTTGCTTGTGATTTGCAAAAAATATTCAATGAAGTATTAAATTACCATTTTCCTTTGACTTTTTCTGTTTCAACAAGCTCATCTAGAGTGTAAAAATAATCGGTATAAGGAAGAAGACAAGGTGGACAAACACTACAGAAACAATCAGAAAATACCTCAATCAATCATTTGATATCTAATCAAATCACTTGACCCAACTCCCATCATGCAACTGTGTCAAATTTTACATATTTTCTTGAAATAGATAAAAACTATTTAGCATTTCACTGGCACTATCATGCTCATTTTCAGGTTCATATTTGTATTCTGTGCCTCCACTGTGACATGTTAGAGAACGCTGGGATTTCAGTCTTTGCAGGCCATTTACAAAAACCTAATACAGGAAGGAGAAAACCCCAAAAAGCATTATAGGGCCCCTTTTAAAAAAAGGCCAAGCATAATGATGCCGCAACTGATGTGCATATGTTTTACAAAAATATATAAAACTAGCATAGTAAGAGAAAGCTAATGTTATTTTACTCAGCCATTTAAATGTGTGTAAGAAGCATGTGTTATGTAAAAAGATATGAGAAGTGATTTCATAGAATGATCTGGCATTCAGCCCATGTTGTCAGATAATGCTGGTCCTGTTTATGTGCAGCACATACTGGCCCAACCAATTCCCTGTGTGGTTTTGTGTGATGGAATCGGTTATGGGCCTCTCATTACATTACATGTTACTTTTATCCAAAGCGATTTACATACTCAATACTGTGGGCAGGGGCGGACTGGGACTAAAAATCAGCCCGGGCATCTCGACCGGCCCACTTCGGTACCACTAGTAAATTGTCAACAGGGGGGGGGTGCTTGTGACTTATCCGACCGGCCCACTTCAGTAGTGGCCCATCGGGATTCGTCCCACAGCCTCCCTCTCATTCAATGCAACAGACAACTCAGTTTTAGATTAAGATTAAGAACATCTTCTTAAATTGCACAGAACCTTTAATTTTTCCAATGCATGTATTGTTATGCAAGAGACTGATGATATTTGTTCTCATGTGAAAATAAAGTGCTGCAATCATCATGCATGCTGAGATTAATAGTCACCACAGTGAAAAAATCACTTGCCTTTTTTAGATTAATATTACATTTTGGAGCTTTTAGTCATAAAACAAAGATCTTATTTTCCCCACACATATATAGAAATCACTTAAGCATATTTGCAGGGACATATGATTCACAATCCTTTTAATAATAGTTTTTTTTCATCTCTCTTTCCATCTGTTGTAATCTGATAACGGTAAAAGCTTTGCACAGACATCAAGTCATGTACTCAAATGCACCACATGAAAGGATTCAAACAACTGCAAACAATAACACATGTATTTCCTTTTTTCAAATTATTAAGGATTTAAATGAAAATATGCAGAGAGAAAGTATTTGTTATCAGTGAAAAGTTTAAAAATGGTGTAATATATATATAATTACAGGAGTTGTTGTTCATGGTATTTAGATTATTCTATATGAAAAAGCTTTTGAAGCAACAGTAGTGTTTGTATATGAAATTCCATATATGCACAGTTTTAAGCCCATCTTTCTCTTCTCGGCCAAAGCTGCAGAGATAATCCATAAGAGACCTCATCCCGACTCTGGCGTACGCAGATCACTGCTGTTTACGCTTTACACACAGACACATGCTCGCACAGGGAGAAAAGAAAACGACTGGATGATAGAAGGACATAGAATTAATTTGAGGACATTTACAAACACAAGTAGACCAGGATCTCCACCGAAGCTGTCATCATGAGTATTAAACAAGCCTGCATCTTTCTCAGGGGAGGATCGAGGAGACAAGTAAGAAACATTTTTTATTACAGTACAGTTTATGATTTCATTTCATTTTACTCTGTCTTAAAAAGTGTTTTCTCTCTACCAAAAGTATAATCATTGTTCTCTTATTGGTTTATCAGGAATGTATTTCTTACTATCATCTGATCATTTTGTATGAAACAAATACTGTTTTGTTAATATGGTTATTCTTATAAGGGGTCAATTCGAGCTGATGGCACAAGTGTTATCCGAGTCTCGTGTGGAGTAGATTGAGAAGGCAAACTTTTTATCCGCTGCATCAGAGCTCAGCTTTTGTGCTTTTTCCATGATGTTAAAAAAATATGTTTACAAAAAAACATTATAATTTATATACAAATTAGAATATATTTTCACAGGTTATAATCTGAATTGTTTACTTTTTATACCATTTTTTTTTACCAGAAATTCGAATGATGTGCTGATGTAGTAATCCTAAAATTAATATACTTTACATTTGATCTGGGATCAATCAGAAAGGACATAACAAAATGTTTTCAGAAAGGATTGAACAGATTACATATGTACAAATTAAGTACATAAAGCTTAGTTCATCTATATAGGACCTGATCGTAAACCCGTGTTTGGAATTACACATGTATATCGTTTGTTCATAAATATCAAGTTGATACATAACATTTATACCAGTATACTCCATATATTATATCACATATAATAGTCATAGATCATGTGTAGCTTAAAAAACAAAGAAACAAATGCATTCTTCTCATACTTTCTTCAATATTACAAAATGATGTCCCTGAAGCTCACACCAATATGTTTCACAAGTGAATGAAATGATCTGCGTCTTTAGTTATTACATACTGACAATCCATGTGAACAACAACATTACATTTACAAAAAGACCATATGCACCTTTATAAGCAGCTTAAATAAACACCTTAATGTTAAGAGAGGCAGTGAAAATATTAATACAACAAATTTAATTTAAATGTAAAGTGTTCATCAAAGAGCATAGCATGGTTGGTACTGAGAAATATTGGAATCATTTGTTGTAATGAAATCTGGGTGTGTACTTTAATGAAAGTGGTCAAATAAAATGGGTGAAAAAAATGGTTGCCCATCCTAAAAACACATGTTAAAAAATGATTTTACATGTAAAGATCTGGTTCAATTTAACAGTGTGTTCAGATTGCTCTTAATTCCATAAAGGATTCATTCTTAGTCTGCGATACATATCCGTATATATATGAATGGAGCTGATAGGAGGGCATGCCTTGACACAATGTAGATATTTGCAGGAATCACAAAAGTTGTCAAATGTGTGGTTAACTACTCTTTCAAATACCTTCTAACAACATTCCCTACTTCTGTCCATTCTGGTTTTGCAGACAAGGGCTCTTACAAACGATGAGATTGAAGGTAGTTATTGTTTTGCTTTCAGATACACTTGAAATGTGTTGTGTTACATTGTACTCAATCTACAGCAAGTTTAAAATTCTAGTCACAAGCATCTCAATGATGTCTCCCTTTTAGAGTTGCGAGAAGCTTTCGTAGAGTTTGATAAAGACAAGGATGGTTTCATATCCTGTAAAGACTTGGGGAACCTGATGAGGACGATGGGGTACATGCCCACTGAAATGGAGCTCATTGAACTCAGTCAGAACATCAACATGAACTGTGAGTAATATCCTCCAATGTATGACTGGAAAACAAACACAAACTCCATTAGTGCCAATCAAGTTGGTTATTAAAGAACTTATAACAGCTAAAACCCATCATTATAACTTAGATATCTCCCTTTTTATTGCCAATATAACTACAGTGTTGTAGTTTAAACAAGCAAATTCATTATCTGGTATATGGTTTTTAAAATATCTTCAAGACTGATGGACTACAGGAAACGTGTCTTTCACGCTCTCCTTAACAAGGGTCTCCTGGGACGACGAATACATTTGCATATTTATATTTCGAAAGTAGCCTGACAGAACAGAGGAGCAGAGTACAGATATATAATCTTATACTCGATATCTTACAGTTAGATGTGAACCATGCATAAAGCATTTGCATTTCACTGTGATTTAGAATAAGTCAATCATGTATAACAAAGACGATAAATGTCCAGGAGAAGTGTGCTTGCATGTTTGATCAAAATTGTCAGTGCAGCAGAGTGAAATGTAATGCATTAAAACAGAGAGCCACTAATTACCAGAGATAAAAAACAATGTATTCATGATGATATTAAAGTGCTTTTCCTCTGTCTGATCGCTGCTCAAAGTAATATTTCATTATTTGTCTTATCCCAGTGGGGGGACATGTGGACTTTGAGGATTTTGTGGAGCTAATGACCCCCAAGCTCGTGGCTGAAACTGCAGGGATGATCGGGTTGAAGGAACTTAAAGACGCATTTCGAGAGGTGAGCTCAGCACACCTATTCTCTCTCTTTCTGGTCTTTGGCACCCCATGGTGGATGTAACATGAACATACAGTAACATCTGAAACCCAGCAAAACGTTTGATTGCAATATGAGTCTGAATTGTCCACAAGCTTTGCAATGGTTTGTTTTTCCTTTACCTCGCTCCCGTAGTTTGATTTAGACGGTGACGGTAGTATCACATCTGGGGAGCTGAGACATGCCATGGTAAAGTTACTAGGAGAGCAGACCTGCAAAAAAGAAATCGAGGCGGTGGTCAGAGAAGCTGACAACAATGGAGACGGAACAGTGGACTTTGAAGGTTAGTAACAAACACACACAAACACACATGCATGAAAAAATAGGTGTGTCTTTAATTTGAAGCAA